AATCCGACTCTCTCTGGCACCATCTGGCAACTACTAATTCCAAGTCTTAATCTGACTCTCTCTGGCACTCTGGCAACCACTAATTCCAAGTCTTAATCCGACTCTCTCTGGCACCATCTGGCAACCACTAATTCCAAGTCTTAATCTGATTCTCTCTGGCACTCTGGCAACCACTAATTCCAAGTCTTAATCTCTGACTCTCTCTGGCACCATCTGGCAACCACTAATTCCACATCAAAACCGATAAGTTTGACTATCTTTTGCATCAAATCATTGTACTTAGATGTCCACCGCATAGCATTCTACTATATTCAAAATTTTAAAGGAAAATGATTTAATAGGGCTGCAGTCCATCAAAATAAGTAAAGCCTCACTTTGTAACTCATCAGAAATTAGAATGTAAGCCGGAAAAACCTTTACATTGATTGTCTCAGCATGAACATTATGGTTGTAAAGAAAAATTAGGATTTGAAGCTTTAAAAAAGGTGTATATTATTCTAAAAAAAAAAAAGCAACCATAGATCCACAAGAACTGTATATTTTTTTAGTTTCAAATTTTATTGTCATTGTTAAAAATTTGATTTTAAATTCATTATGAAGATTTCTATTGCTGAAAGTGCATTCCAGACAATAATTTGAGATGAGGCTTTAATTTTTTCATAAAGCCTAGGCTTTATAGAACCTTCGTCCTTTTTATTAAAATGAAAGTAAAAAGAGTGCACCATACACAAATTTTAAACGGGTCCATTAAATTAGATAAGGAAGGACCGTCTTCATGTTTATTCAATTAATGTTTGACTATTTCATGTCATTTTAAATTTAGATTAGTGTATAGTACAATCCTCTTACTTTCCATTCTATCAAAATAACACATTTTTTAATCATCAAAAAGAAAAAGAATAAAAAGAGCATTTTTACATTTCAAAAGGGTAATTGCATCCGTAGGTGTAGAGGCAAGGTATACCTTCAAATTTTATCATGGTATATAATTTTTATGTAAAATGTCATTAGGATTATCTCAAAATCTATTTTTATTTCTAATTATAATATTTAAAATTTTAAAAATAGTTAAAATCAAGTAGATCTATAAACATATAAAAATCTTGAAAATGGACGGTGTAGATAATATGTTGTAAAATGCACTATTTCTAAGACTTAAAATCTTTTTATTTTTCATAGTTATACATCTCGATGTCGAGAAGATCAATCAAAGGGTCTTTCAACATTAAAACTACCTTTTTTGATGGACTTTTGAGGTGCATCTGTAGCTCTACGTTATAAGGTTGCAACCTTGTGTAAACTTTTTCTAAAAAAATATGTTCTTCCCGCGTGAAGCAATAAAAGAGTGTCAGAAGAAAATGTTGGAGATAAAACACAACCTGAGTTCAAATGTCAAGTATTGATAGTTGAAATGTGTCATTATTTTTTGTTTTTTCCTAGTGGATCTTAACCGGATCAATTTGGATGGGCTCCAATTTGATGTGATTTGAGGCATGGAGCAATAAAATAAAACATTGTATACAACAAGACCATTTATGTTTCATATAAAAATATCACAATTACTTACAATCATCCAATATAAAATCTTATAGCTAACTCCTCAACATCCATCCAACATGAAATCTTATAGCTTTTTAATGTCAACTCCATTGAGAACTTACAAGTTGTATTCGGTTTCACCCTTTATTCTCTGTCAAGAATTTCAACCCAAGCTTGGCATACACCTTAACATATCGCGACAGTGGAGGAGGTTTAGTCAAGATCGGGGGATACAGTTCAACAACGTTTTTCTTTTGAATATTTTGGTGCCTATATGATGCCTGAGTTTTGAAATTTGACAATCACACATCCCATCACATCTGATAGTTTGATAAAGGAAAAGGAAAACTCTTTCCAACGTTTATAAGAGAAAATAAATAATGATTTCATCTACTCTCATAACCATCTAAACTTCATTGTGCGGTCACAGTTGTCTGGTAGTGTTTCATTTTTCATTTTTTTCTACAAAGCTAAATTACTTGAAATTTGGGACATGTGTACGTCTTAGTGAGACGCACTTAATAAAAATATGAAAATAACAATTTGTACAATATAAATTGACCAAAATGCCCCTATAAAGCTATGAGGGTATTTTGATCATTATATATTCCATGAGTTATTTTTCATATTTTTATTAGGTGCGCCTCACTAAGATGTACACAAACTTCAACTTTCAGATCATTCCGATTTTAAAAAAAAATGAAAAATACAACACTACCGGACAACTATGACCGTACGATGAAGTTTAGATGATGATGAGGGTAAGCGAAATCATTGTTCATTTTTTCTTATAGGCGTTTTGTAGTATCTTCCTTTGATTAATATTGGCGTTATTGCCTAGTCTTTACATTAAACATTAGTTTCTTAAAAATAGGAAATATATATAGGAAAACGTTTATATAAGTGCGAGGCTCTAAACAATCAAAATTGGGTATCCCTCAAAAATTTCACTAGAATAGGCAATTTTGGTGCCATAATATCCCCCAATTGATCATCTCGACCTCAAGATGTATGGACATAAGACAAAAACGAATTTCAAGTTTTGGAAATAGTGTATCTTGTAATACATTTTTTTACTGTTGAAACTATTTTATGGCTATCACAAAGATTTCTAGTATTGAAACCACATTTCTCGACATTATTTGAAGGTGTGCTCTACTTTGATTAGTTAGAGCCTTGGCTCTATATAAACTGCACTCATATTTATATCGAATTGTTTACCAAGAGTCATTTATCTTTGGTACATGCAGGTCACAATCATTCTCGCTCCGTAGATGTCGAATTGGATGGCTTGGGATGAGTCACGAAGTCCGAAAAAAAAAATTTGGAACTTTGTGTCTGATCAATGACACTTCTACAACAACCCAATTTGAAATTTAAATGGCAAGAATGATTATGACCTCCATGTACAAGTAAAATTAAGGTGCACTAAAAAACCCATCGTAAAAGATTGTTTTGAAGTTAAAAAACTCTCTAATAGATCATCTCGAATATTTTGAAAAAAAAAATGACTTCTAGTCAAAAAGTTAGTGTATCTTGTAGCATATTATCTGGATCGTTTATTTTCAATAACTTCATGTGTTTGAACTATTTTTGGAGTCTAATTTTTTTTTTTAGTGTAAAATTTTAAAATAGATTCTCAATACATCCTATGAATTTTTTATGCAAAAATTACATTTTATAATAAAATTTGACTAGTGCACCTTACTTTGTTTAAGGTCGCAACCTTATGCAAACCACACCTATATATATAACCCCTTGACCATAGGTAGGCGTCCCCTTATTAAACCAAATTAGTAACCACAATAATATTCATTTTTACAGCCACTCCAATTAAAAAAAGAATTCAATTAACAAAATACCTCCTAAAACCTAAGTTTATAAGAAATTTATCAAGTTACCTAAAAGAGATGAACAATTCTAAATTTTACCTATCTCTTGTATGAATACCCGTAACAAGGGCATGGTCTTGAGTTGAAATAGTGTAGCACCCTGAAAGAGAGCTAAGAGGTACATGACAGTCCCAACACATATCGTACACTCTACAAACTGATATGAAATAAAGATAGTGCTGAAATTGCGATCTCCACCTTTGGAGGAGGTCAAGAGACCTATAATTATACTTATGCAAGTCAATAAACATGCATATTCATAATTCATATTAAAATTATGCCGAAATTGCGGAAATCACTCAAAACCACAAATATTAGATCAGCCTTAAGATGAATTCGTAAGGACCCTAATGCTTGTAGCACCTATATGGTGATTCTTACTCACTACAAAGAGCTCTAAGTATCTTTTACAAAAAAATTGATCTTTAGCATAAAAAAAAAAATTACAAAATTATTAAAGCAATGCAATATAATAATGTAGATTTGACCTTTGGATGGAGAAGAGAGAGATGAAGATAAATCATGCAAAGCAATGTAAATTGTTAAACAAAGTACGGGTTGTCTTTTACAAGCGTC